ATCCATCCACCCATCTATCAAACACAACACACCTAAACACTACACACACTAACCACCTGTAAACTTCGTACATTTTCTTCTCAAAAAAAAAAAAAAATTTACACACTTCCCATGAGAGCCGGCCGCAATATCTTACTTAATCCATTCTACGCGTAAAAATCCACCTAAAATTAACCTGAAATTAGCCCCCCCCCCTATACACTGACATAACCTAAACCTTTCCAAATGCTACTAAAACCTAAAATAAGGTCATCGAGAACCAGAACCACGAGGATCACCGCACCACAACAATTCACTAATCAAATAAATGAATCGAAATCAAATCGCCCAATTCAATTGACCACATCCACACACACACTGCAAATATCACTACAAATCATACAAGTACCACATACTAGGCCTAATCACTGGCTCACTCTGTATTGCCTAAGCAAAGCACACCAAAAAAATGCAACAGCAAAAGCCTATCAGCAATCTAGCACCACGATACTCTAGAGTGAGTAGTCTAGCATCCCTTAAATAGATACATACATACACGTCTAATCCGTCCCGAGTCCCGAGACTAAGCTACAATGCCTGCCAGCTTACGATTACGACAATTAAACTACTTAGAGCTTACGAGACCCTAGTACGAATCATACATAAAACCATACAAGGCCAGCAGCCAGAGGAGGCATCATACAGCCACCGCCGCCACCGCAAAACAGGCACAGGCACAGAAACAGGCAAAAAGAAAACGACACAAGCCACAAGCCATAAGCCACAGGCAACACGCTAACGGGAATCGTCGCGACGACGGGAGTCTAAATTCAGGCTCTATGACAGACATCTTACCTAGCTAGCTGCCAGCCAACTAGCACCACCTCAGATTAACAAAACAATTTCTCCATTCAAATCATCACCTCCTCATCAAACTCGTCATCAAATTCAGCCAGCCAGCCCATGCCCTCTCCGTCACCCAAACCAGCCTAACCCTCTATGTAACATCCAAATAAGCAACTGCATCTGCACATACACATATACATAGTATATTAATCAATCCCATCCTGTCTATAGTGTTGCTATAGTGATTAGCAGCTAGCTGCTGTTAGCTGCTGCTGATGCTACTGCTGCTGCTATGCTAAGCTTAAATGAATAACGAACGCGAATCAACCCAACCATCGAACCATATAAATGGAATGTGATGCCATTTAATACAACACGACACTATCAAAATCAGCTTTAACTATAATAACGAGTTACTGCCTCTACTTTACTACTACTACTGCTTACAGCTGATTAACCAGCCACACAATTAAACACTTACTCGCCCCATTTATATCATGCACTAACACCACTAAGCACTTAAGTCGTCGTATCTTCACCACTTGCCTAAAGATCCACTTTTTTTGGAGGGGGTAGGGAGGGGATTCTAGTGATCAAATTCTACCTCAGTGCCTCAAAATCCTTTCCCGGGAATTCCAGTGATTTCCCGGGAATTACAGATGAGATCTATCAATCTGGACGTTGCATTTGCAAATTATTAACAATATCCCCTCCATATCAAGCACAAAAATATCCGCTGAAATATAATAACTCCAAATATAATTCAAAAAAAAACCGCCTGTGATAGCCTCCTATCCACATCTGTCAGACAAATCGCTCGTTGACGTAGTGGCGGTGGCTATGCCCAGTTGCGTCCTCCCTCCGAATCGCTCCTCCCATTGGCCGTCTGCGCCCTCCGCTTGGCAATTTGACCCATTCACCTCATCCGCACTTACCCCAAATTCGGAAAAACCTGAAATTTATCTGGAAACCTGAAATAGAAGCGGATTCCAAGCCAATTTCCAGTCAC